AGCTTGAAAAATCACACCGGGCGTGTGGGTGCAGGCCCAAAATCCCGGGAGGAGAATGGAGAAGAGGGGACTGTGGTGTGGCCATCTTCCCTGGGGGGTGATATCTCAGTTTTCCTGCCCCTGTCTCTCTCCAGAGAGCACAGGTGCCTTATAGTAAAAAATTAAGTAAAAAGAAGATGAAGATGAAGATCATGTACGAGTAGGGATTACGAATGAAGGGGCGATAAGAAAAACATAGACCAGGATGGGGAGCAGTGGGCTCGCAGTTCGAAAACTGTCTTTTACTGAGGAATGACTGTGTACACGGTACTGTTCTAGGTGGTGGGGACACAGGTGGGGAGGTGCGGGGTAAATGCAGTACTTCCTGAACTTCCGTGCTCACGCTGCTGTTGAAAATGGCTGTTCTCCCAACTCCAAAGAGACAGTTCTCTTAGGGAGTGGGAGCAGAAACTTCTCTCGAGCAGGATCTTATGAGAATGACAAATGCCCAGGTGTTTGTCCCGGAGATGCCTCCCAGCTGTCCCATGGTTGAAATTCCTCATTGCTGTTTCCCTTCTCTACCCCAGGACACTCAGAAAATGTGTCCCACAATGAGGTTTCCGTAAAACATGGGATGTAAAATAAAATACAGTGCTTATTTACATTTATAACAGCTTATTTGTTTAGTTGTAAACTTCTTTATTTAGCCCATAGTGAATCTAAATTAGGAGTTTCTGAATGCAGAATCTCATTGACTCTTTTGAACCTTATTTTTGTTTTTCTCACTGGAATTTCTACCCTTTAAAACTCTTCTTCAAGATCTTGAGTATACTGATAGATATATAAAATTAACATATAGAAGTATACTGTAAAGATATATGTGATTCAATGTAATATAAGCAAGATTATGATAATAAATAAATTAATTAATTTTTAAAAAGTATACAGGAAGTAAGAATCCAACATAGCATACTTCAGGAAGACATATCTGACACAAACTGTTATCAAGTTTAATCTTTGCTTTGTTTTCTTTGAATTAGTACTAAATAATTATAAGAGGAGCCACAGAACTATACTGTGTAAGCCTTTTTAGAAATTTTTTATTGAAGAACGTTTCTGGTTCAAGTGTTTGACTGATTGAATATAGAAATTGCCAAGGCAGTAGTTAAATTAACAGTCTCTCAACTCGTCAGCCAAAGGTGCCTTGAGCTATTGAATGGGATTGCAACAAATATGAATATTCTAGGAAGGCCATGAATATTTCTCTCCGGGAAAGAAGAAATTCATGTTGTGGTTTTGTTGCTTTTTAAAAAAAATTAAAGCATACATACAAAACATCAAAACAAAACTGGAGACAATATTTGGATATGTTCTGAATATTCCATCTCTTTATGGGACCTTTTACTTTGCTTGCATGTTTACCGCATTTGCCTGCCAGTTCTCTGTGATCTGTCCCTCCCTCCCTTCTCTGATTTGGGAGTTGTTTGACCCAAACTTCCTCAGGTATTTTCCTACGGATGCAGTAAGTACTGGTACTTAGTTAGCAGTTCATGTTTGAGAGGGCTAGCAAGACATAGCACCTCCTGGCCTATTGGGTCACCCATGGTTACCCGCTAAAGAACAGAGCTCCTTACCCAGGGCTATCCAGGCACATTGCTTTCCGGCTGCCCTGGAAGTTTCATCCGGGAACTGGGCATTCTGCTCCTCTGAACACCTGGCCCCTGCACTGACTTAGTCTAGAAACCATGTGATGCCAGGAATATGAGAGACAGAACAAAGCATGTTACAAAATAAATACATCCAGCTTCATGGGACCAGCAGATAGCGTAATGGTTACGTTGCTGGACACCCATGTAGTCAACCATGGTTTGAGTCCCAGACACAGTGGCTTAAAACTCACATCGGGTGCATGTGTGTATGTGCCCAAGATCTCGAAAGGAGAATGAAGGAGAAGGAATTGCAGTGCGGCCATCCTCCCTGGGGGGTGATTTCTCATTTTCTGTCTCTGTCTGTCTCTTTCTAGACAGAGGGCAAGTGAATGTGCCCTAGAGCAAAAGTCTCTAAATAAATAAATACATAAAAATAAATCCAATTTTGTAAAGTCTAATACATTAAAGTGTAAATGTTTCTAATAATTAACTACATTTTGGATTACATATTTTACTATTTTCCATTTGCAGCAAAGAAAAGGAATGTATATAAATATTCAAAACCGATTCAAAATTATTTTCTGATTTAAAATATTTATTTGTTATCAAGGCATTGCTAATTGCAATTTTGCCTTCTGTAATTATGCTAATATGATGGATTAAGTATAATCTGCAGTATTAATTTTTACATCCATTTTTCAATTGGGTGATCTGCATGCATTTATTTATGACTTTGATGCATCTCATCTATTCTGGTGCATAAATAGTTTCTTGTTTGTTTATTTGTCTCTGCTTATTTAAATTTAATGGATTAAAATTTCAACCCACTTCCCCATATGCAGACACTCTCTTCTTTAATTTTAGTAGTTTGTATGACTCACAGTAGACATTTTATGAGAACACAGTACCTTCCATTTAAAGGCATTAAGTAGTATGACAAGAAAGATCTCACGAATGTGTCTGTGTGTACATTGAATGTGTGTGTGGGTGTGTGACCTGAAGCATTACTATGCCTTTACAGTCAGGGAGCTATATTCTATAAATTAATTAAACTTAGCAATTGACTATACTTGAAGGAAGCAATTTGGTGTAAATGTTAGGGTTTTATGTGTAAAATATCTATATCTTTCAGATTTAATGTATGCCTGAGTCCTTTAAAGATAGATTTAAACGTGGAGGCTCCAAAACGCAGAAGTCACATGTATCAAACGCTGGGCTCAAGCACAGCCTCTTCAATGATTAGAGGCACAAATAGGCACGTTGGTTTCTGATTAGAAGGAAACACAATGAAATAGAAGCTGTTGATGTTTGGAGACCAAATGTAACGACTGTGACCAGGAACAACAGGTCTCCCATGGTGCCCCCAATTTGTCATTGAATTCTACAGCAACTATTTTTTAAAAGAAACAAAAATATATATTTGTATAAAGAAATGAAACAAATTTTAAAAGAAAAAAGAAAAGAAAAGAAAGACTTATTGACCCTATAGTCTAGTGTAAGGGGGTGGGACCACACAACGCCCACTGTGGTTTGAATCCCAGCCCCTTTGGATACATATGGGTGCGTGGCTAAAATTCCTACAGGATGAAGAAAGCAAGGGAAAGAAATTGCTTTGGCATGGCCATGCCCCATTGGGCACTTTCACTGCCAGAGAGTATGTACATGTGTCAGAGAGAGACAGAAACAAAGGGGTGATGGCCCCCCCAGTGGGGGGATGGTCATGCAGCAATCCCTCCTCCTGTCGGAATCTGGGGTACACACACACAAGCACTCGCATACTTTTCAAGATGCTGGGATTTCAAATACTGTCAGCCATGTGAATTCGCCATCAAGCCTAAGTCCAACTGAGAACAGATTTCTAAGAAACAATTCATGATGTTTTGAATTTGACAGCCCACAAAGTGAATAGCAGTTTTATCTTACTTATCCAAGCCCTAGGTGAAACTTTTTTCAATATTTTATGGGGGCTACTATGTACATAATTTCAGGATTTAAGGAAAGCATGCATCTTGTTTTCGGAAAAATAATCTTATACTTTTTGGGGGGTTTAAGTTACACTTTCCTCATTTAATGCTCCTCAGAAGCTGTGACAGTGGGCAGGCATAAGTGTCTACAGCCCATGGGATGGAACGGAGGTTACTGCTAATCTGATATTGGAGACCAAAGAAAGGAAAAGCTGAATTCTAGTTTTCTTTCGTCCACCTCCTAAGTGCCCAGTAGAAACGAGACACATTTCACATTTGGGATATTTTGAATGAAAATACGAGCTCATGTTTTGAGTTTCTACATGTCTTGTATCTAACAAATAATGAACATTTGTAAAGATAAATGAAGAAAAGAACCAACACTGTGCACATACTGTGATCTGCCTCCATCCAGGTCTGGGCTGGACTGTATCTAACGGTCTTCTGATATAGATGACAAAGAGGGGCATTTCAAAGCTTAACCAGAGAAGAAGATGTAAGTCTATACACATGTGTCGTGCTGAAAAAAGTAAACTGATGTCATGAAAATACTGACTTCTCAGGCCTTCCCACTGTCTCAGCTTTCTTCTTCTCCTAAAATTCATCTTCAGGACAATCAGATTTTCTTGCTGAACTCCTCTTCTCAAATTAATGATGTTTCCAAAAATGAGAGCTGGTTTTGTGGGTGAATTAATTTTCCCCACTGGCCAATAAATTTAAAGTAGAACTTCAATTCCATTTTGTAACTACATTCATTTAATACATCATTTCAATAAACCCCAATATGTATTGATTGGAAGATACATTAGGGAGTACTAAGAAAAAACACAAGAAGAGATTAATTTCAGGATTGACTATTAAATGAACTCAAATGTGATGATATGGAGGGGTAGAAAATATCAATATTAGCATCTACAAAAGGTAGAATAATTAAAGATTCACAACTGAATGATGTTTGGCAAGTATCCTGGGGTGTAGCAAATAATGGTACGATTGTCTGCACTGCAGAAAGAAAACTTGAGTCATTCAATTCTCTAGTATTTATTGAACGTCCAGCAGGTGCAAGTCAGCTGTACTGCCAAGCGTTTAGCCCGCAACAGAGAACAAAGGAGAAATGATAGCTCCTTGTGGACATGTGAAGTGTTTTTATCTGGCTCAGCCCACGGACCTGATTAGGACTCTGCCAGGCATTCAGAGATCACATGCGTGCCCAACCATCCTAGCCCAGGGATACTCTTCCAAATTACACAGCCTCCTGAAAAGGATACCCAAAACACTAACCCAGCTGTAAAACATACTGCAGAGATAAACCAAATAAAGTCTGTATTTCTCTCCTTTTTCTGAAAGCATACATGTTGACGGTGTCCTGCGTACCAGTCTCATGTTCAAACCTTTCCTCTAACCGTAGGAGCTGACGCTGTGGAAGCTCAGTGTAAAAGATTTGAAGTGAGAGCGAGTGACGATGGCAGGGTGCTGTTTTCTGCAGATGAAGATGAGATTACCATTGGGGCTGAAAAGCTGAAAGTTACAGGTACTGTAGATTGAGGTCTTGGAACTGTTTACTTCTCGAAAGAATACGCGACTGCACTAGAGGCTGCTTTCTACGATGCATCCTTCATGCCTGTGTCTAAAATTGCGCCTCACATAATATCATGACATCACAATATTTGACCTTCAAATGGAAGGCATTGGTCGTGTTTGCAGAACGGGATGTAAATATTCGCCACTTAATACAATTTCAGAAGTAAAGCTGTGTCTTTCAAGTGGAGGTTTGAGTGGAGGAAATCAAGCGGGTTGGATGGTAGGAGGAAAGAAGGAGTGCATAAAATAGACAGGTGCTTTCCACTTCTGACACTCGGCAGAGGAGACTAAAGGTGAGAGGCAGATGAAAGTTAGAGCTGTGATCTCAAAGTGACAGATATGCAAAAGTAGAACAAAGGTAGAAAGAACAACTTCATGATCAAGGAGAAAACGATGGTAAGATAGGTAAGCTAAATTCTTGTTTTACAGCATTCATACTTGTTTTCAAAAGCATGTCAATCAAGAAACAGTGCCATACACATATTATGTAGAAAAAAACTAATGTCATTATTCTAACACTGACGTCATTAAAGTCAACCAGATGATATTTTTAATTTAAAAAAAAAAAAACTAAGAAAAGCATTGAGAACTGGAACTGAGAGTGAAAAAATTGGATGAAGAAAATTTCAACCACAATTTCTTCTGAATTACTTCAGTTGTAACCCTAACACATATTATTTTGATGAAGTATTTTAAAGAACTTTAAAGGTATCCAAAGAGGTATACATTCTTTTTTCTTGTTTATGTGGTGCCATTATTTAAAAAATATTTTCTTCTCTTTCACTGTCAGTAAGTGCATGTATTCAGCAGAGACAGAGAAAGCACACCCCAAAGAGATACAGTTAGACTGCATGAATGCATGTGTGGCAGGCTGTCAGGGCTCGGATTTGAACCACGGTCGGCGGTGTAGAATACAGTTCCATCTGCGTAGTGCCTAACCACTGCACCACTGGGCTCGCACCATTTTTTTTTTTTTTTCTTTATAGAGATTTTTGCTGTAAGGCACATGCACTTGCTGGAGAGACAGAGAAACAGAATGCAAGAAATCGCCCCCCACGGGGAATGGCCAAACCATAATCTCTTCTCCATTCTCTTCTCAGGATTTTGGGCACACACGCACATGCAATGTATGCAAGTTTCATGCCTTTAGGTCTGAGACTCAAACTGCAATCGACCATGTGGGGGCTGGTCTTAACCATTAGATCACCTGCAGGCCCCAGCTTTTTATTTTTTATTTATTAAGAAAGTAGTAGTATTGTTCATGTCTTGTGCACAGGGCCTGTGTGGATTTCATGAAAATATATTATTAAATGGTTACAAAGTTCGGCAAGCGTTATTGAATGTAGGCGCCTGCTGGGTGTCCCTCTGAGCTGGGTCATTGCCCGCCCACCCTACCTCTGCCCCTGATGGTCCCCACTATTCTCCTGTGAGAATGTCC